TTTTTCCTAACCTTATCACCGCCGCACTTGCTAACGTGGTGTGGATGAAGCGGAATTCTGGCGGACTATCTCAATCACGTATGAGATAATTTGGGGCTGCAGTGTCCCCCTCAAATAGCAGCCTGCCAGGGAGGAAGAACTACGGTATAGGTCCTAGGATAATCTGCTTTCCTACCCACTGGACAAGGCCCCAGCCCCTCTCCCTGCCTATGGCGCTCTTGGTTTCTCAGAGGCCTGCACACTCTCAACTTTCTTCTGTGGAGGACCGCTCTGACCCCTGCATCTCCCAGTGTTTCTCCTCCTGGCTGGGGAGGGGGGCAGGGAAAGATCTGAGGTATCTCGCTTGCAGTCTAGCAAAGTTCACATCTGTTGACCTTCCCCAAGCCTCCTCCATGTTTCATCTACCTCCCTCCCTCTTATTCACATGACTTATGCAGTCGCTCAAGAATGAACCTTCCTGGCTACGCGCTCCACATTCCTCGTGTTCTTCCTGTGTGTCTTCTCTATCTCTCACAGCCCTACCCAACTCTGCTAGGTCTCCCACCCCACCCCCACCTCCACCCCTCCTCTACCCCCCCCCCACCCACTGTGATGTTGTTTTTAAAGGTATTAATTCAGTTCTATTGTCCTCCTGGGCCTCTGCTTCCCATTATAAAAGGAAAGTGATCCAAGCTTCTGTGGGACACAAGGCACCCTGATGTCCCCTGTCTCTCTCCTTATCTAAGGACTCCTCCAGGCTCCAGGGATGACCACTGCACATTCATTCCTGATTGTTCTCATTTTCTTGTTATAATCTGACACATTCTTCTTCCAAATCCGTAGTCACTTGGCCCCAAGTGCTTGAGATCATAGAGAGAAGAGTGTGACACAGAGAAGCTTCTTCAGGTCATGATGAATAGGAAGCACAGAGAGAGGTAGGGGACAATGGGAACAAGATTAATGTCCTGCCTTCCAGGCAATCACCACCTGTTGGAGTTTCCAGAACCTCCCTGGAGTCGTTCTTTTTCTCGTTGCTATGACAAATCTCCTTCAGGAAGGGAAGAGTTCATTTCTTCTCACGGTTTGAGAGTACTATGCATCATGGTTGGGAAGGCATGTCACCAAGAATGTGAGGTGATTGGTCCTTGCATCCAGAGTACTGTACATCATGGTTGGGAAGGCATGTCAGCAAGAACATGAGGTGACTGGCCCTTGCATCCAGACAGAGATGAGTGTTAGCGCTCAGCTGCCTTTCCCTTTTGTTTCCGCCAAGGACCCCACCTGTAGCGTGGTACCACCCCAGTTAAGCTGGATCCTCTTGTCACAGTTAACCTAACCAGAGGCTCCCTCCCAGATATGCTCAGAGGTGCATCTCCATGGTGATTGTAGACCCTGCCAAGTTGACAATTAGCATTAGCCATCATACCCCCATGATAGCGCCCCAGCTGGGGACCAAGTGTTTAACACGGGTGCCTGTGGAGGACTCAGCCAATGAAAAGAGGAGAAAGGTGGATTATCCCCGATAGAAATTGAAACCATCCATCTTTTGTGCTCCCGCTTCACACAGCGCCTTCCCACAGACCCTCCGGGTAACACCCCAGACAGAAGAAGCATGACAACCGACAGGAGCAGGAGGTGTGCTCCTGGGCTTACTGTGTGTGCTGTGTGCTGTACACTGTGTGCTGTGCCGTTCTCAGCACTGCACATTCATCCATTTACTTGGCCTCAACCCATGCTGAGGCCATCTTCTGGGACCTGCCCTAAACAGTCCATTTCCTCCACCCAGAAATGTCCAGGACCTCCCAAAGAAGTATCACAAGTGGGGAAATCTACTAAAAAAAAATGCACAGAAGCCAACAACTGACTTAAGGGTCCATCACCATGCTTCGGGTACTTGGTGTCCACTGCCCTAGCCCAAAGTGCCCTGTGCTGTGGGGAACTGGATTCCCACTTTGAGTTTGAGCTGTCGCAGGCCACAGACAGCCCCGGCTCCCATGTCATCACATCTAGCACCCCAGCCAGGCCTGCAGGGAAGAAGAAGCTAATCATACAGACAGATTTTAGTCGTGGAGGACCTTCACTACCAGATGGAAAACTATATTTTGAAGTGAAAGGAAATGGGCCCAAGGGCATGAGGAAAATGGTCCTTTGGTAAAGACGACTGTGGCTGGAATCTGTCAGCTGAACCAGGGGATAGAAGGCTGTCTCCTCTATCAGGTCAGGGAATATGAGGAATGTAGCAAACCAAGGCGGGAGGCTAATGTGGGCTAGGCAGAGGGATTGAGGCATGTATGGCCAGGTCTTAATGTCAGCAGCCTCTTCTGAAACATTGTCAGTCCCGGCCACATCCATTTGGAAGAATAAGATCCTGAACCCTCTGCCAGCTGCGTGCCTAATGGTTAAAAGCCATGCCTGTCTCCCAACATGAATGGGCCAGGAGCTACACCCCAGCACCTCACTGTCCCTGCACCCAGCACCACCGATGCGCGCAGACAGCACTGACGGTGTCTTACCTTCCTTCCTGACATCACCAGAGCGCAGAGCGCTAATGTGAAGAGTGCCCCGCAGAGCGCAACTCTCCACAGCTCTCCCGAAAGCCGAGGCAGAAATACCCAGCACTGCACATTTTAGTCAGGCAAACTACTAATTGGCTGCAGCCCGACTTGATTCAAGAAGCCGCTGCCAGCTGAGTGCAGAGAAGGAGCTCAGATTTAAGGGGTTCATCCTAGGCGAACCTGGAAGAACAGGTGCATAAATTAAATTAGGATGTGCCCTTGCTTCTGGAAGCTTTCCAGCTTGCTTCAGCTTGAAGTGAACATGTTAGAAAAGGGGAAGCCTGAACCGGAAACCGTTCACGAAAGAAGCTTCCAGAGCCACCATGCTGGATTTTGGCATAAAACATTCACAGGCCTGGAGGGGCAGGCCTGTCAGCCCAGCCACTCAGGAAGCTGAGGCAGGAGGGTCCCAAGTTCGAGGTCAGCCTGGAGAGTTTGATGGAACCTCAAAATAAAAAGTGAAAGGAAAACGGGGGGGGGGGGGGTAAGAACTCAGGCAAGACCCTATGTTCAGTTTCCAGTGCTACAAACAAAGGAGGTGGGGAAGAGTCCATGTTTGTCCAGTACTATAAACAAAGGAAATACAAAAGAGTCTGTGTTTTTGCTTTTCTATATTAAGTAAAATACCTTCTCCTAATATTTTTTCTAGAATTTCGTTAAACAAAATCAAACAACAAACAAAACTAGCCCTATTTCCTGACCTGCCCTCTAGCTGGTGTGGTCTGCATGCCGTGAAGTCCAGGTCCAGATGCTTGGCACATGGGCAGAACTGACGGGGGCTCTGCCTATAGGCTATCTCAGTGTGATGACTTGGGAGCTGGGCCAGTCCCTGGGCCACTGAATCTTAAATTTGACTGCACATCAAAGTCACCAGGATGTACTTCAGATTACTTCTGCCTGGATTCCACTGCAGAGACTCTGGCCAGACTGATGGTCTGAGCACTAGGAATTTTCTAAAATTTCCCAGTGCCCTTTGTTGCGTTGCATTCTGAGAACCGTCGCATGCACCAGCTCTGTCCCCTCCCCTAGAAAGCCAGTGATGCCCCCTAGGTCTGACTCACTGTAACACAATGCAACTCTCCTAGTCTGTCACCATCACCGTGAGGCCCAAGAGAATGGCCAGAAATCCTCGCCCCTACCCATCAGCTCAAACCTCGGCTCACTCATGCCATGGCTACTGCTTGCTAAACCCACTGTACTGTCTCCTCCCTCTGTGTGATCACACCTGTGGTGGCTACAGTCATCCTATCAGACTCTTCTCCCTCGTGTCCCTCTTCTCTGACCACACAGACTCTGGACCCATTCTCAGCAGTGCTACCCGCCCCCCAGACACTAGTCCCCAGCTCTCTGTGAGTTCCAGTCTCCTCCTGCCGAGCCTCAGAAACTGGCTCCATGTCCCTTCTTCATTGAGCCTCTGCTCCCAATAATCTTGTCACCATTTCTCCACCTGCCTTGCCCACTCCAGATCCGACCCTTCTCTGTGCTTTTATCTGTCCTTCCAGCTTCTCAGTCCCTTTGGATCCCATGAGATCGGGTCTCAGCTGAAAACCTCCTTTTAGGGATTTTGGTACATGCTGTAACATAGATGGCCCTTGAGGACACTGTGCTCAGGGAAATGAACCAGCCACAGAAGGACAGGCACTGCCTGGTATGTGAGCAGCCTTGAATGGACAGCTCACAGAGAGCTGAAGCCCAGTGCTAGGTGCCAGGGGCTGTGGAGAGATGTCAGTAGCTGTGCTTCATGGGGCAGAGTGTCAGCTGGGGATTGTGGAAACATTCTGTGGGTGGACGGATGATGTGTAAAAGAGTTTGGTGATAATGAACTGTGGATTTTTAAGTAACCAATAATGCAACTGCTTCTCACCCCTTTTGTAAGGAAGTTTGGCCTGCCCTGGCCTGGGCCAAACAGCCCATGACTTCCCAGATTTCCCACATCTCCACCTTAGGATAGCCCTTGTCAAGATCTGAACTCCTCAAAACATAGTGAATACTATTGTCACATGACAGTACCCACCTACTGCCATCCAGACACACGGCAGTCTCGGACAGGCCCTCGCCACCCCGCTCCCTGAGAAAGCTGGAGTGATGGAAAGCTAGCTCTCCAATCCCTTAGCCTGCAATTTAATCAGCAGGAAAAACCACATTGGTGAAATATCAACCCAATTCAAAGTACCATTGTTCCAGTACTCAGGAATATCAAGTCACACATTGTCCAATCATAACACAATTGACATAACATAAATTGACAGACGATGGTGGCATTGAGCAGACTGCAGAGTTTGAGTGTCTGATCAATCCCTCAATATGGATTGTGTGGCAGGGGAATCAACCACAAATGCTTCCATGACCACCTTTGTTCAACCAAATGTACGCAGCAAGGGAGCAAAAGCCTGGCGATTTCAAATTTAAGAACACCTAAGCCCACTCCTTGCTTAATTCTGCTGTTGTTTCTTCTTCCCAATTTAGATATTTATCTTTGAGAACAACATCTACTACTGCGCACATGTTGGGAAGCAGGCGATCCGAGTGGTCTCCACGGGGAAGGAGGGTGTGGTCTACAATGGCCTCAGCGACTGGCTCTATGAAGGTAAGACCTGCATGCAAAGATGCCGAGTCTGTGCCTGCACGCAGGGCGGCTGCTGCAGTGGCTGCATTCGGCTTCTGAACCAGCCGTCTTTTCTCTTTGACTTTAGTTATAAATTTAACTTCAATTTCTTGAGAGCCTTTGAGCTTCAGGGAACAAACATCAAGTCAGCATTCATAGGTGGCAGGTGCGGGGTCACACAGGTGGCCAAGTATGGGAGACTCACAGGTGGCAGAGGTGGACCCTTACAGGTGGCCAGGGATAGGGTTCTCATGGGTTCCAGGTGTAAGGGGCTCCACTGAGCCCATTGTTACTTCTATGAAAGGAGAGGTGCTTCATGGGAAAATTGCCTGAGTGCTCCGGGTATAAATGTATGTGTTCCTCCACTCTCTCCAACAGTTAAGAAGCCTGTCTGCTTCTGGGAGAGGTCAACTGTTTTAGTTGCCTTGGTGACTCAATACCTGACAAAGGCTACTTAAGGAACAATTTGTGTTGGCTCACAGTTTGAGGGGACAGTCCACCCTGGTGTGGGTAAGAATGATGACAGCAGCATGAAGTGTCTAGTCGCATTGCATCCACAGTCAAGACATAGAAGGTGAAGGATGCTGGCTCTCAGCTTTCTTCTCCTTTTCATTTGGTTCAGGACCTCATCCTAGAGAATGATGCCACCCACATTTGGGGTGAGTCTTACCACCACTGTCAACCTGATTAGAGGATCCTTCATAGGTACGTCCGAAGCTTGTCCCCTAAATCCTGTCAGGTTCACAGTCAGTATTCCCCTTCCCAGCAAAATTGGAAAAGGAAATTAAACCCTTCTGAAGAGCCCAGACCCCTTGGGCTGCTAGAACCAAAGGTCACAAAAATTGCTCTTTTGACACTGGCATCTGTGCTCCAGGTTCTTGGGAGTGCACCAGAGGACAGTGTGTGCCTGGCAAATCCCAAACCCTTACTCACTGGCTCACTTCAATGTCCTCAAAGATCTCCTCTTCTTCTTTTTTGGAAGCAGAGTTAAGAGCTTATTAAAATGTATTTTATTAGTTCTGAGAGAATTTCATAAAGTGAGGTTAATCATAGTCATCTACTTCCTCTAACTTTTCTAAGTCCACCTTCCTTTTCCCTTTATAATAATAAATCTTTTAGTCATGTTAGTTAGGTTCTTTGGATGCATAGAAATTGTATTCTGCATAAATAGGTAATCGTCAACCACTTCAAAGAACTATAGAAAATGGCGCGTCTGTCATTCCAGAGTTCCCTGGGCCCCTTTCTGCTCAGCTCCCCTCCCCACAGCATTCTCTCCTGGAGAGCCCAGCCGTCTGTTTCCGTCTGACAGACAAGCTGAAACTTGTACATGCAGGCAAGGTGGACTCTCCAGCCAATCTCTTTAGTGACCCAGTGCTGCTCAGTGTTCATATCACTCGTAAGAACCCAGCTTGCTGCTGCCCTCTGAGACCCAGGGCAGTCAACTCTAAGACTTAGTTTCACATGACATCCTGGCACGTTCCCGAGGGGACTGATGGGGTGAAATAGATGCTGGACTGACCGATGTCCAGGCTTGCTTCGTTCCGAAGTGGCCCCGAGAACAGCAACCCAAGCTCTCCCCAGCCCCTCCATCTGCCCTGGGTGCAGTTCCGTGTGTGCCCAGTAACCCACAAGAGAGCTCATCTCACATACCAGACACAGTCATGAGAGAGGACCCTGAAGTCCTGTGTTCCAGGAGATAACAAAAAAGCCTCTGTCTGAGAAGCAACCAGAAGACCAAGCCCTGTTAGTGCTTGCCGTGTGAGAGGCCTTACCAGGCGCATCCAGCCTGTGAGGACAGTCAGCACAGCAGCCCCAAATCATAAACATACTTAAGCATCATGGCATATTTTTAAGATTTCTTTGGTTTCATGACTGCAGAAAATGAGGGCAGATTTTCTGCATGGTAAATGGGTATGCATGCCCACCTCTTGCCTATGTGTGATGCCTTCCAAATCTGGATTGGGCCTGCTATCTGTCTTGCTGGGAAGTGATTAATAGCAGGGCTAGGGGTGGGGGCAGTCACAGAACCACATGTGAGGTCCATCCTGACCTTCTAAAGCTCTTACATCTCTAAGAACTCAACATTTGCAAACAACACACTGGAGAGACCCAATGTGAGTTGTGACCAAAACGGATTTAGAACAACACGGCCAATGGCATCCACTAGAGAGCCTTTACTTATGTTAAAAAAAAAAAAAAAAAGCTGTTACATTAACAGTAGCTGTATTAACTATTGTTTAACTTAGTCACTCATGTTTTATTGCGAAGGAAAGAACATAGTATCTGTTCTGGTGCCATTCTACTGCTGTGATAAAACTCTGAGTGAAAGCAACCTGGGGAAGAGAGAAGTTTGGTGCTCACAGCCCATTGCTGAGGAAAGTCAGGACAAGAACCCAAGCGGGAACTTGAAGCAGAATCCATGGAGGAACACTGCTTGTAGGCTCACTTGCTGCCTTGTGGTAGCTTTCATATGTGACCAGCACCATCAACCTAGGGAATGGTACCTCCCACAATGGGCTGGGCACCCCTATGTGAATTAACAATCAAGGTAACACCCCTCAGGCATGCCCACAGCCCAATCTGATGTCGGCAAGTCCTTGGTTGAGGCTTCCTTATCAGATGACTCTAAGTTGTGCCAAGTTGACAATTAGAGCCAACTAGGGCGATATGTTTTTAAAAGATAGGAAGAGAAAGAGAGAGACAGAAGCATCCAGGCTGATTTCCCAGGTGGCCATTCTGCCACAGTTTAGTAACTGTCTGTCTTGAACTTCATGGGAGGCCGGTGCAAGCTAAGCTCCTTGAGGGCCCCACAGAGAAGGGCCTTGGGTCTTGCTGCAAGAGCCTTGGCTCGCTCTGTAACTAATCTCCTTAATAACATCCATAGCCAGGAGGTCTGAAACATCTTCCTCAGTATCTCAAAGAGAAAAAACATTTTTAAAAAAATCATTGCTTTGCCATTCAAGTCAAGCTTAGCTTTAGCGAATCCGTTGAAAGGATTCTTTACTTTCTTCAAGGCATTTACAAGAAATCACGTAGATATGCTAACAGAGACTCAAATATTTCAAATCAATCTTTCTGAGATGGGGCAGCTTAATCTGCTTACCCTTCTTCCCTGTATGGTTCTACATGCTGATGCTCAGACTTCTGAACCTGAGGACCTGGGAGCCCTGGGGATATTGTTTCCTTTTTTTAATAACAGGAGAATAAACTTAGAAGATTGCCTTGGCCTAATCAGTGACTTAACTGCTTTATTTCCAGCCTCCCACTTCAGAGCAGGCTGGGGGTGGGTGGGAGAAATCAGACTCTGAATGTTTGCAGAGAGCCAGCTTGCCTGGAAGGATTAGTTCTGAGAAATGGCTAAGGTACAGAAAGTGAGACACATCCTGCAGTCTCCAGTTATTGGCAGCAAGACAGTGCATTGATTTTTGTTTCCCAAAAAGAGCCTCAGACATATTGACCCCTTCAGAATGCTGGAGACAGGAGAGAAGCAGAAATGTGGGGGCTACTGGGAATCTCAACCCCTTGAGCAGAAAGATCTGCCAGTAGACTACCAGACAAAATTCAAGCTCAGGACTGGCTGTGTGCCCCCACACCATCTTCTGCATGACTTCCAGGGTTTGGAGGGACCAGAGACTAGCTTTTGTCCTGTGAGGAAATGCCATGTAGCATAATGGAATTGTGGTTTAATGGAAAGAAAAAGACAACTTGATAGAATCAGTGGTTTTTAGTTTTACTGAACTTGGTTCTCCATAAACTAAATTGAAGGTGTTACTAGAATGTTCTGACGGTAGAGAAATGTTCCATGAGGAATCTGTGCCCTCAACAGGACTTAGTAATTCAAAATGTCCCCAGTGTGGGAGTGTCTGAGCGGAGAGTTGTAATTATCCAAATTTTTACAAAGGTTCTTTGTTGCCATGGTTACAGAGCTAGTTGCTACCCTTTATTTATAATACTGTCGGCTCATTTTCATCCTTACCAAGTGCATGAGCAAGTGAGGGCTAACACAGAATTCTTGTTGGGAGTGTTCTAATGGCAAACCTTTAAGTCCCTTAATGTTCCTATTTGGTGAGGAACCAACCGTCCATTCCTCCACTGCTAAACAGAGTTTGCAGGACCCAAACCTAACATGGTTGATCAAAGCCATGCCTCTCTTGTACAGTGGTCATGTCTGGTGAGAATCAGCTGCCCTGGGGCCATGAGAATGGCCCCTCTCTCCCTGTGTATAGGGCTAGGAACTCTCACCCCAGTTCATCTGAAAGGATGGGGAAAGGCCAAGAGGCCATAAACTCGAAAAACTGTCTACAGAACACAGCCTGAAGCCATAAGAAGTCTGAGGTAGCCAGGACCTGAGAAAGTGGCCTGGAGGATATTTACTTCATTGTTTTTTAAAGCCAGATTTGTGTGGATGACATTCCAGGGCTGACCTTTAACCTTACTAGAGCGGGTTAGGTGCCTGGAACATGGGGTCAGATCAACAGAAACTGTTTGACAGAGCGATGCTGCCCAGGCGGATGTGGCAGGGGCATGCTCACTATTGCTCTTGGGTAGCTGTGCCTGGTGCCTTTCCGCCAACGTGGCCTGAGGACCATCAGGTGGTCTTTGACCAGCAGTGACAGAGAAGTAATGTCGGGACAGTGTGAGCTCTGTGGTGTCTTCTGCAGTTCTCTGGGAAGCAGTGTGGAGGGACGGAGCCTATTTGGCCATGTGGCCGTTGGCATCCTCTCCCACGCCTATAGTAGCTATGGAGAGACTGAAGTTAGTTTTGAACCCTCCCCCTGGTTTGGACCTGTCCAGCTAGACTGTTTCTTAGTCACTGACAGCTGCTGCTTTTGGAGCCCAACATTCCTTATGATCAATTGTAGAAATTCAGTATTTTGAACCCCATATTGGCTCTACCTGTGATGTCTAGAGGATGCTGTGGAAGTAAAATTAACGATGGGAATATCTAAATGTAATCAACACTCACCAAGTTTTCTGCCCTC